AAAGAAAAAATCTTAAAGGCAGTTAGAGAGAAGGGGCAGATCACTTGCAAAGTGAACCCCTTCAGGCTAACAGCAGTCCTTTTAGCAGAAACCTTACAAGTCTACAGAGATTGGAGGCCTATTTTCAACATCTTTAAAGAAAAGAAATTCCAACCAAAAATGTCATATCCCATGAAACTAAGCTTCATAAGCAAAGGAGAAGTGAAATCCTTGTCAGAGAAGCAAATGGTAAGGAAATGTGTTGCCACTAGACCTACCTTACAAGAGGTCCTAAAGGGAGTGCTAAACATGGAAATGAAAGAACATTCCCTGCAACCACAAAAACAGACTTAAGTACATAGGCCATTGACATTATAACACAACTGTATAATTAGGTCTGCATAACAACCAGCTAATAATACAGTAACAAGATCAAATCCTCACATGTTAATATTGACCTTGAATGTAAATGGGCTAAATGCCCCACTTTAAAGGCCGACTGTGGCAAATTGGATAAAGAAGCAAGACCCAACTGTCTGCTGTCTTCAAGAGACTCATCTCACAAGTAACGACACCCATAGACTCAAAGTAGAGGGTTAGAGAAAGACCTATCAGGCAAATGGAAAACAAAAAAAGAGCAGAGGTTGCTATTCTTATATCAGCTAAAACAAACTTTAAACAAACAATGATCAAGAAGGACAAAGAAGGCCATTACATAACAATAAAAAGTTCAGTACTAAAAGACCTAACTATTCTAAATATATGCACACCCAATATTGGAGCACCTAGATTCATTAAACAAGTACTGAGAGTCCTACGAAGAGTTTTAGACAACCACATAATAACAGTGGAGGACTTCGACACCCCAATGACAGCATTAGACAGATTGTTGAGGCAGCAAACTACAAAACTATTCAGGACTTAAACTTGGTAGTTGACCAGTTAGATCTAACAGGCACCTACAGAACACTACGCCTAACAACAGAATATACATTCTTCTCATCAGCACATGGCACATACTCTAAGACTGACCACATATTTGTCCATAAAGCAAGTCACAACAAAATCACAAAAATCAAAACCATAACAACCACACTGTTGGACCACAGCTCAAGCACAAGCTTCTGTGTGACTTTTGGTTAAAGAATGAAATTAAGGCAGAAATTTTAAAAAATTCTTTGAAACTAAAAACAGACACAACATACCAGAATACTCAGGAAACAACTAAAGAAGGATTAAGAGGAAAGTTTATAGTGCTGTACACCTACATCAAAAAGTTAGAAAGATCTCAAATTAAGACTCTAATGATTGCACCTCAAGGAACCAGAAAAACAAGAGAAAACCAACCCCAAAGCTAGGAAAAGAAAAGAAATTACAAAAATCAGAGCAGAACTGAACAAAATTGAGGCATGAAAATCCATACAAAAGATCAACAAAACCGAAAGTTGGTTCTTCAGAAGATTAAACAAGTTTGATAGCCTGGTGGCTAGATTTATAAAGAAAAAAATAGAGAAGACCCGAATACACCCAATCAGAAATGACAAAGGTGGCATCATAACTGACCCCAGAGAAATACAAAAAAAATTTCAACTGGGCAAGTTGGCTCATGCCTGTAATCCCAACACTTTGGGAGGGCGAGGCAGGCAGATCACCTGAGGTCAGGGGTTTGAGACCAGACTGGCCAACATGGTGAAACCTCATCTCTAGTAAAAATACAAAAATTAGCCAGGTGTGGTGGCACGTGTCTGTAGTTTCAGCTGCTCAGGAGGCTGAGGCAGGAGAATCGCTTGAAACCAGGAGGTGGAGATTGCCGTGAGCCAAGATCACACCCCTGGAATCCAGCCTGGGTGAGCAAGGCTCTGTCTCAAAAAAAAAAAAAAATTCTCAAAGACTGCTATGAACACCTCTCTACATACAAACTAGAAAACCTAGAAGAAATGAGTAAATTCCTGGAAACACATAGTCTCCTGAGGTTAAACCAGGAAGAAATTGAAATCCTGAACAGACCAATAAAGAGTAATAATAGACCAATTGAATCAGTAATAAAACACCTAAAAACCATAACAGCCCTGGACCAGATAGATTTGATTCTACCAAAGGTGCAAATAAGAGCTAGTACCAATCCTACTGAAATTATTTCCAAAAATCAAGGAGGAAGGACTCCTCTGTAACTTATTTTATAAGGCCGGCATCATTCTGATACCAAAACCTGGCAGAGACACAACAAGAAAAGAAAAATTCAGGCCAATATCCCTAATGAACATAGATGCACAAATTATCAAATTAGTACAGCAAACTGAATTGAGCGAGCAGCACCTCAAAAAGTTAATTCACCATGGAGAAGTAGGCTTTATTCCTGGAATGCAAGGTTGGTTTAACATATGCAAATCAATAAGTGTGATTTATTATGTAATCAGAATTAAAAACAAATGCCACATGATCATCTCAACAGATGCAGGAAATGCTTTTGATAAAATTCAACATCCCTGCATGTTAAAAACTCTCAACAAGCTAGGCATTGAAGCCACAAACCTCAGAATAATCAGAGCCATATATGGCAAGCACACAGTGAACATCATACTGAACAGGCAAAAACTGGAACCATTCCCACTGATAACTGGAACAAGAAAAGGATGCCAATTCTTACCACTTCTGTTAAACACAGTATTGGAAATTCTAGCCAGAGCAATTATGCAAGAGAAAGAAACATAACACATTCAGATAGGAAGAGGTCAAACTATCTGTTTGTAGACTATATGATTCTCTATCTAGGAAATCTTACATAGTTTCTGTCCAAGAGCTCCTACATCTGATAAAACAACTTTAGGAAAGTTTCAGGATATAAAATCAATGTACAAAAATCAGTAGCATTTCTATACACCAAAAACATCCAAACTGAGAGCCAAATAAATGCCATTCACAATAGCCACAATAAGAATAAAATATCTAACATTTAACCAAGGTGATGATAGATATCTACAATGAGAATTACAAAGCACTGTTGATAGAAATTAGAGATGACACAAACAAATGGAAAAACATTCCATGCTCGTGAATAGAAAGAATCAATATTGTTAGAATGGCCATACTGCCCAAAACAATTTACAGATTTAATCTTATTCCTATCAAATTACCAACATCATTTTTCACAATTCAAAAAAAAAAAAAACTATTCTAAAATTCATGTTGAACCGAAGAACCTGAATTGCTAAAGCAATCCAAAGCAAAAAGAGCAAAGCTGGAGGCATCACGCTACCCAACTTCAAACTATACAAGGCTACAGTAACCAAACAGCATGGTAAGGGTACAAAAACAGACAGGTAGACCAATGTAACAAAGTAGAGAACCCAGAAATAAAGCCACACTGTCTACAATGACAACAATGGGGAAAGAACTCCCTTTTCAGTAAATGGTTCTGGGATAACTGGCTATCCATATTCAGAAGATTGAAACTGGACCCCCTTCTGTCACTATATACAAAAATTAACACCAGATGGATTAAAGACTTAAATGTAAGACCTTAAACAATAGAAACCCTAGAAGAAAACCTAGGAAATACCATTCTGGACATCAGCCTTGACAAAGAATTTATGACCTAGTCCCTAAATGCAATTGCAACAAAAACAAAAGTGACAAGTGGGACCTAATGAAACTAAAGAGCTTCTGCATAGCAAGCGAAATTATCAACAGAGTAAACAGATAACTTACAGAATGAGAGAAAATATTCACAATCTGTGCATCTGACAAAGTTCTAACATCCAGAGTCTATAAGGATCTTAAACACCCCAACAAACAAAAAACGAAGTAACTCCACTAAAACATGGGCAAAGGATATGAACAGATACTTCTCAAAAGAAGACATACATGTAACCAACAAATATATTAAAAATATACTCATGATCGCCGATCACTAGAGAAATCCAAATTAAAACCACAATGAGATACCATCTTACACCAATCAGAATGGCTATTATTAAAAAGTCAAAAAACAATAGCTGCTGGTGAGAACGTGGCAAAAAGGAAACACCCTGCTGGTAGCAGTGTTAATTAGTTCAGCCCCTGTGGAAAGCAGTGTGGAGATTTCTTAAAGAACTTAAGAGAGAACTACCATTCAACCCAGCAATCCCTCTACTGGGTGTATACCCAATGGAAAATAAATCGTTCTACCAATAAGACACATGCATGCTTATGTTTGTTTCAGCACTATTCACAATAGCAAAGACATGGAATCAACCTAGACGCCCATCATTGGTGGACTGGATAAAGAAAATGTGGTACATATACACTATGGAATACCACCCAGCCGTGAAAAGAATGATATCATGTCCTTTGCAGCAGCATGGTACAGCTGGAGGATATTATTTTAAGCAAACTGACACAGGAACAGAAACCAAATACCATATATCTTCACATATTAGTGGGAGATACACTTTGTTACACATGGGCAGGAAGATGGGAATAATAGACACTGGTGACTGCTTGAGGGAGGAGGGTGAGGGGAAGGTATGGGTTAGAAGGCAAACTATTGTTGACTATGCTCACTACCCATGTGATGGGATAATTCATACCCCAAGCCTCAGCAATACACAATTTAACCATGTAACAAACATACATATGTACCCTTAGAACCCAAAATAAAAGTAGAAGAAAAAACAAAGAAACAAATAAAAACAAAACAAACAAGTAAAAACACGATGTGATTTTCATGTTGTTAAATTTAGATTTGCTATTTTATTATTTGTTTTTGGTTAGTCTCCTCTGTCTTTTTTTTTTTTTTTTCCACTGTCCTTCCTCTTTTGGCTTCTTTAGTATTATTTAAAGAATTTTTAGAATTCTATTTTAATTCATATGTTGCTTTTTTGGGCCTACCCTTTAAATCATTTTTTGCTTGAGGTATTAAACTATCAATTCTTAACATTTACATCTAATTAAAGTTAATATTGGTAAAAATTGTTGTAAACTAGAAATCATATAAACAAAGAAAATCAATACTTGTTTCTCAATTGTTTTTTTAATTGTAGGTTGCAGAAAAGAATGAAATCAAAAGGTATTTTGAGTCAAAACTCTCTGAAGATGACACAACACATTTCAAGTTGCCTAAATATAGACGTTTATTAGAAACATTTTTCAAGTTTGTAATGCTGATTGACTACATATTTCAGGAACTCATTCGTCAACTTATGAACACTGCAGTCACACTACTTTTGGAATTATTTAATGGTTCTGCTGGAATGCCATTTTCAGTGGAAAAAAAGAATGAAAATCTCATCAGGTAAATTATTTTTTTGAACTCAAAAAGTAACTTACAATTATAATATTTTAACATATTGCCACATATGGAGGAAATATTCAATAATTTAAGCTAGAGTTTGAAAATTCTCCTGGTGGCAGAGTACATGTACTCATTTTTGCTATTAACAGAAATTATTATTTAGTAATACCTTACTTAATATTGGTGCTATAGGATGCCCAGTAGAATTTTAATTTCACATAAACGATACATAATTTTTAGTATACTTTAAGTATTACCTATGTTAAAAATTATTTTTTATCTGGAATTCAGATTTCTCTGATAATTTAGCAAATATATGTTTTATTTGTTATATCTGGCAATTCTGCATCTAAGTATACTCTGTCTTCCAAGGTCAGAGTTAGTTTTTAAAGATAATGTGAGAATTCTGGAAGGAGCTACAAAGTCCAATTGGAACTAAACACTACTGTTAAAAACAAAGTATTTTCTTATTTTCAACAACTAGATATATCTACCATAACTGGTGAAACAGGACTATGAATTGAAATGATGGCATACTTTGTAGCTGGTGAAACAGGACTATGAATTGAAATGATGGCATGCTTTAATTTTTATTTATCAAAATTTAATAATGTCATTTTAGGCTAATTAAAGTTTTATAACTAGATAGCTGAAAATATATCAATTCAAAAAATTTTAAAGATTATTCAAGATAATATTTTGTTTTTCTAATTATTACTGAATCTACAGAGCTAACATCACTTATCTAAGGACTTCTAACTGGTTTGAGTCAGTGCCAGGATTTTAACTTATGTAAGAACACAGCTATTTAGTGCATTATAATTTTATTTCCTTTAAAACAATATGTGTGTGTGTTTAGGAGAGGTCTTTATATTCTTAACATAGTTTTTGAAAGATATTATTATAATTAATTCATCATATTATAGCAAATTTAGAAAACAAGTATCACCCTTCATTCTATCACTTAATTACAACATCTTATCATTTTATATTATTTTTATAGTCTTTTCCTATATGGTTTTCCATTGTTGTAATCCTAGTGTACTATTTTATAGCGCGTTTTTCAAACACAGTGTCTCCTGTATGCATTTTTTATGTTACAGGAAGAATATATATAGGTCAGGCCCAGTGGCTCACGCCTGTAATCACAACACTTTGGGAGACCAATGAGGATGAATTACTTGAGTTCAGGAGTTCAAGATCAGCCTAGGCAACATGGCGAGACCCTGTCTCCACAAAAAATACAAAAATTAGCTGTGCACAGTGGCACTGGCACACACCTGTGGTCCCAGCTACTTGGGAGGCTGATGTGGGAGGATCACTTCAGCCTGGGAGGTTGAGACTTCAGTGAGCTGTAATCATGCCACTCTACTCCAGCCTGGGCAACAGAGTGAGACCCTATCTCAAAAAAAAAAAAAAAAAATATATATATATATATATATATATAGGTTTAAGCACATCTTTTTGTGGAGTCAGACCACCTCGGTTTTAATCTCTGATTTGACTCTTGCTAGTTTTACTTAGTTGAGCTATTAACCCAACAGAGATTGAATAAATTTGACTGGGCATAGTGGTTCACACCTGTAATCCCAACACTTTGGGAGGCTGAGGTGAGAGGATCACTTGAGTCCAGGAGTTCAAGACCAGTCTGGGCAACAAAGTGAAACCCTGTCTCTACAAAAAACAAAAACAACAACAACAACAACAAAAAACCTAAGAAAATTAGCCGGGCGTGATACTGCATGCCTGTAGTCCCAGCTACTCGGGAGACTGAGGTGGGAGGATCGCTTGAGCCCAGGAGGTTGAGACTGCAGTGAGCCATGATCACTAAATAAATAAATAAATAAATAAATAATTTAGACTTCAATTTTCTAATCTATAAAATGAAGGTAACAGTAATACCTATGCCATAATGTTGTTTGAGAATAAACACAGTAAATGTCTGATAAAAAGCATCAATCATTGTTGAATCTGTTTCCATTGACCTCTTAACAATATTGGTTGGTATAATAGTTCCATAATGACTAATGATGTTGAACATCTTTGCATGTGCTTTTTGGCCATTTATATACATTCTTTGAGGAAATATCTGTTCAAAATCTTTGTTCATTTTAAAATTGTATTCGTTAATTAATTAATTTATTTAGTTGGGGTCTTGTGTTTCTCAGACTTGTCTTGAACTCCTGGGCTCAAGTGATACTCTCACCTCAGCCTCCCTCATAGCCGGGACTACAGGTTCATGCCATCATGCCCAGCTGAGTTATTTGTCTTTTGATTGCTGAGTTCTAAGAGTTCTTTCTTTATTAGATTCTGCGGGTCATCTTTTCTTAATAGTATCCTTTGGAGTAAAAAAGTTTTTAATTTTTAATTTTTATTTAATTTTTAATTTTATTTTTATTTAATTTAACTTTGATTGATTGTGCTTTAAGTGTATCTAAGAAATCATTGCATAATCCAAAGTCTTGAAGATTTACTCTTGTTTTTATCTAAGATCTTATAACTTTAGCTCTTGCATTTAGGCTTTGATGCATTTTGAGTTAATTTTTGTATATGGTTTGAGATGGGGTCCAAATTTATTCTTTTGTATATGAATATCCAGTTGTCCCAGTACTATTTGTTGAAAAGAATAACACTATTTCTTTCTCTATTGAATTGTCTTGGCACCTGAGTTGACAATCAGCTGACTAAAAGTGTATGGGTTTATTTTCAGACACTCTATTTCATTTCATTGCTCCATGTCTGTCCCTATGTCAGTACCATACTGTCTTGATTACTATAGCTTTGTAGTAAGTTTTGAAATTGGGAATTGGGAATTTTCTGACATTGCTCTTCTTTTTCAACATTGTTTTGGCTGTTCTGGGTCCCTTGCATTTTCATATGAATTTTAGAATCACCTTGACAATTTCTGCAAATATTCAGCTAGAATTTTGATAGAGACAGCATCAAAACTGGAGATAAATATGGGGAGTATTTTCATTCTAATAGTATAGTCTTCTAATCCATGAACATGGGCTGTCTTTCCATTTATGTAGGCATTCTTTAATTTCTTTCAATATTTTGTGGTTTTCAGTGTATGAGTCATGCATTTTTTTGTTGAAATTATTTGTAAATATTTTATCATTTTGTATGCTGTTGTGAATGGAGTTATTTTTAAATTTTCTTTTTTGGTTGTTCATTGCCAGCATATTGAAATGCAAATAATTTTGTATATTGATCTCATATCCTGCTACTTTGTTGAACTTTTTTTATTATCCCTGATAGGTTTTTAAAATTAATTGTTTAGAGTTTTCTATATGCAAAATCATGTCATCTGCAAATAGAGATAATTTTACTTCTTTACCGATCTGATACCTTTTATTTCTTTTTATTGCCTAATTCCCCTGTCTAGTAAGTACTTTACAGTGTTGAATAGAAATGGTGAAAGCGAACATCCCTATCTTGTTCCAGAGCTCAGGAGGAAAACATACAGTCTTTCATCATTGAGTGTGATGTGCCCGGGGGTTTTTCACAGATACTTCCTATCAGGTTGAGGAATTTCTCATCTGTATTAGTTTGTTGTCACATTGTTATAAAAAACTACCTGAGACTAGGTAATTTGTAATTAGAAGAAGTCTAATTGGCTCATGGTTCCACAGTCTGTACAGGAAACATGTCTGGGAGGCCTCAGGAAACTTATAATCATGGCAGAAGGTGAAGGGGGAAGCAGGCATGTTTTACATGGCTGGATCAGGAGGAAGAGATGTAGGGGGAAGTGCGACACACTCCTTAAAACAACCAGGTCTCTTGAGAACTTATTATCATGAAAACAGCACAGAGGAAATCTTTCCCCTTAATCCAGTCACCTTCCACCAGACCCTTCCTTCAACACTGGGGATTACAATTTGGCATGAGATTTGGTTGAGGACGCAATCCAAACCATATCACCACCTGTCTTACTTGAATGTTTTTGTCATGAAATAGTGTTGGATTTTGTCAAATGCTTTTTGTTTTCTGTGTCTGTTGAGATGACCATGTGTCTTTTACTTTATTCTATTAATATAGCATATTATATTACATACATACATTTTCATAAATGGAACCAATCTTGCATTCTTGGGATAAATCCCACTTAATTTTAGTTTATTATCCTTCGTATATGCTGCTGGATTCAGTTTATTATTTTGTTGAAAATGTTCACATCTATATTCGTAGAGGACATTGGTCGGTAGTTTTCTTGTGATGTGTTTGTCTGGTTTTGGATTCAGGATAAGACTCACCTCATGGAGTGAATTGGGTAGCGTTATTACCACTTGTCTTCTGAAAATTTTATGAAGGATTGGTGTTAATTCTTCCTGAAATATTTAAAAGATTCATCTGTGAAGTCTGGGCCTCAGCTTTTGTGTGTGTGGGATGTATTAAAATTACTAATTAAATCTCTTTACTTGTTATAGATTTGTTTAGGTTTTCTATTTATTCTTGATAAAATTTTGGTAATTTATGTCTTTCTAGGATTTTGTCCTTTTTATCTAACTTATTTAAACTGTTGGTATACAGTTGTTTATAGTATTCACTTATAATTGTTTTGATTTCTGTAAGGTCAATAGTGATATCTTCTCTTTCATTACAGATTTTAGTAATTTGAGACTTTTATTTTCTTAGTCAGTCTAGTTAAACGTTTGTTTATTTTGTTGATCTTTTTAAAAACCAACTTTTGGTTTTATTGATTTTCTTATCAATTAAAAAAAAATCCCAAACAAGTTAATTTTAAAATGGGTGAAAGATGTAAGCAGACATTTCATCTAAGAAGAAACAGATTGCAAATTTTTTGTGTTTTAAAGATGCTGTAAATCATTAGACATTAGAGAAATGCAAATTAAAATCACAATGAGACACTTTTACATACCTGCTAGAATGGCTAAAACAATACCAACAATACAAAGTGCTCATGAGGATGAGGAGCAACTGGAACTCTAATACATGACTGCTGGGAATGCAAAAGGATACAGATGCTCTGGAAAACAGTTG